ATTTATATTTATTTTTTAGTAGAGATTGGTTTTATAACTCTCTAATCAATTTAGGACTAAATATGACCTTATAATATGATATAATATTAATTTTTAATTTAATAACAAATTTTTGATATTATAATTTTTTTGAATTTCTCCATGAAGTGATTGATTTCATTGTGCTTCAACAAAATTAGAGTTGATTTGATTTTTAAATTTTTATTTTTTTAAAAAGTATTATTTGTATTGAATCAATTATAATTTTATTCGAAATGTAATTATATTAAATATATATTTGTATCATCTTATGATCCGTGCAAAATATTATTAATTTATTACTAATTCTTGATAACTTGTAGCTTATTTTATTATATAATATAAATGTAAGAGAGCTCGAAATCAAATATAATTTTATATTCCTTATTTTTTTTCATTCACCGGATATAATTCATTATATTTAAGAAAAATATTATAAGAATATTTGAAAAAACTGATGTCCCGAGAAACTTGGGAGACTCAAACAGCTTTAGCGGTGTTCCCGTCATCTTGCTCGAGCCATAAAAGTCATTAGGGGTAACTATAGATTACTCTGTATAATTAATTATGATTAATATTTTGATTTTTATATTTAAAAAAATAAATATTATCGTTCCTTAGGAAAGAATAAGATTTGGTCTCGTATCATTCGTGGACGCACCAAATTAGATGCGCCACACGTCATGGTGTCAACTTAAGTGAAAGCTTCAATCACAAATTAGATGCGCCATAAAGTAAAATCACTGTTTTCCAAACCATTCAATTTGCTGGTTGCCTTTGCTATTAAAGTATGTCACATCATATATTTATAAAATATAATAAATTATCATTTTATTATTCATAATTTATAGAATATATATTTTTTATCTTTCGATTCAAATCATTATTTTTACAATAGTAAATATTTTATTAACTTAAAAATGATCACTTTTTCTTAGTAGGATCATAAGTCTCTTTCATCCAAGCTTCAGATCTATTACAAAATAGTAGATTATTTTAAAAATAAATATAAGATAAAAATTTATCAGAAACCGAATAACTAAAAAATTATAAAAATAATCTTCGATATTCGTTAGACATATACAAATATTAATAATTTAATAGGTAAAACTTATGAATTAAAAAATTGATGATAATTTCTTATGTAATAAATAAAATCATATATCAACCACATATAACATATACATAATAATTATATAACAAAAACGTACATCATACCCAATGGTGTACTCTTCCAACAACAGATGGAGATGTATACTTTACGAGATAAATTTCTCTCAACAACGGATGGAGGAACAATTTAATTATCACGTTTAACAGCTCGCTAGCCCCCAAAGAGAATCGACATACTTGCCCTAGATTATTCATTTACATTTATCCATTCACTCATGCATGCATCAAGAAATCAATATGATCAAATATTATAAAAGATCATGCTTGATGTATGATCTACTAGACTATATTAGTTGGTGGCTTCACACTACGATGAGCTAATAGCTCATTTCACAAGTTATACTTCTAATGTAAACCACTAGCCTAGTTACATCTACTATATTGTAACAATCATATCAATATTATAAACTAAAAAAAAAATAAAAACTAATAATCATCTTCAAATGACATATTCATATAAAACCTTTAAGTTTATCAAATCATAAAGACATAAAATATCAATATCTCAATAGTCCTCAATTAACCAAAATCCTAATTGAAACAGTTCAATTAACTTAAACCAAACTCAATTCGACTATGCCCTAATAGAATTAACCTTAAATTTTTATAAAAATAGTTTACAATCACTCTAGACTAGTCTAATTTAAATTTAATTGATCTCGATTATATCAAATAGGTTTGAACTAATCAAGTTGATCTAAAAGCATCCTAAACTAACTCAATTAATTAACGAGTTCAAACCAATAAAGAGAGAGAAAATTAAACTATATCGTATAGTGATAGTCTAAACCAAATTGACCCACTTATTAGGAAATAAATCAATTAATAATTTAATTGATTGGTAGAATTCCTAACTTGTCTACATGATAATCAAATTTAATCATTTCCTTAATTATAGTACACAAATATGAAAGTTAATAATAAAGTAATATATTATTTATAGTAATTAATTTATATTAAGGGAGAAATTATTGATGATTTTAAAATATGTGAAGATTTGATTTTTACAAATTTTTTGAAAGAAAAATAGAATATCTTCATCAATATTCAAAAGGAGTAAGTAACACAATTCTTCCTTAATATTTTAATCATGGTATCGAAAAGGTAGAAGAGAAGAACTTAAAAATTAGAAGGTAATAAGAGATAAATAAATAAAAATATCCTAGAAAGTCAATATAAGATTTTGATTCTTTTTATGTCTCCTGAAAAAAGATATTTTCATTTATATAACTTCTAATTTTTGCCACTCAATCTTTAATGAATCTCTAGTCATTAGCTCTAATATCATTTTATTGGTGAGGGAGAGAAGTTTCTAAAAATTAAATTCTTCATAGATTACTTATAAGATCATTGAATTATCTTAGTTTAAGCACAATATCCTTATATATTCTCTCACATAAATTTATATATTTCTCTCATCATTTTTAGATTCTATAGAGATATATTAATGAGTACCCAAAGTATTCATCATATCTTATTTTCATTTTCAAGATCCAGAGATACGTATGATGTTTATAAAATAATTGAATGTTAATTTCTAAATTTTTTTATATTATGATTTCTTGTTCTCTTATAACACTAATTTTAGAATTTCTAAAATACTTATTGAGAATGAATACACAATCAATTAACTACCACTCATCATGTAAATGCCACGGAAGGCCCATGAAAAGATAAAGGCATATAGATAATCTAACACCCTCTAGCTTATGTGAATAGAAGTTCAAAAGGTAGCTACAGTCAGAGTTTGAATATTTTTGAAAGTTCAATAGCCAGCTCAAATCGATTATAAACTACTTTTTTTTGTAAAATATTCGTAAGAATATTCTTAGATAATAAGCCTAGAGAAACCACGCTATATTCCGTATGACTTCTCGCATACGGATCAGGACCACGTTGGGTTGACGAAGACGACGCAAACGATATTTTCCCCTAATAGTTATCAGTCTAATATATATCCACTAATTTCTTTTTCATACATACAACTAAAGAATTCGTCAATCGCAACCCAACCGAAATCCTTTCGAGATATTAATTCATATATGATATCGGTTTATTACTTAGCTACTTGTGAGAGGATTTAGATGCTGAAAGAAACACATGCGTCGCTAAAAAGCCAAGAAATAAACGCTCATTATGTTCATGGACACCTCGAAACCCAACTAACCTATTGGGTGGTCACAAGTTGACGTTCTGGTACCTACCACCACGCAGGGCAGCAGCAGCAGCAGCATTCATGTCTGCAGCAGTCGCATTTATCGTCCGCTGCGAGCAGAGTAGTTAGCACAAGCCTTTCACCCAACTACCACCTCTCTTCTTAAGACCCGTTCTTCACCCTTCTCTCCTCCTCAGACACTGGTCTCCACCTCTCCTGCTTTCTCCTACTCCCCTCCTTCGGGTTCTCGTCTTATTGTGTTCATCAGCGAGTAATTATTCTTCCTGTTTTCTTGGTTTCCAGAACGATTATTAGTACTTGATCGCTTTGACATTGGCACTCTGTATATGGCAGTGGGATCGGAGACGGTGATGGTGGACCAAGTCCCATTCGCTCCTGAGATCACGGTCACCAAACCATTAAGCCTCCTGGGCTATGGTAAGTCGGCACTCATTTCGACCCATCATCCCTAACTTTCGACCCATTAAGCCTCCTGTACTCTTGTTGTTCTTGTGACGCAGGCGTCACCGACATCGAGATTCATTTTCTACAGATCAAGTATAACGCGATTGGGATCTACATGGAGAAGGAGATCATTCAGCATTTAGCGGATTGGAAGGGCAAAAAGGGATCCGAGCTAGCCGAAGATGATGTCTTCTTTGATGCTGTCGTTTCAGGTGACAATTACATATGACCATTAGGTCAGAGCAAGATATGGCTCCCACAGTCGGGTCTTTCTTGAAGGTTTGCAGTTCCTTGTATGCTTGCTGCAGACTATTTATCTTGATGACTCTACGTCGTCATGTGCAGCTCCAGTCGAAAAATACTTCAGAATCGTGGTGATTAAGGAGATCAAAGGTTCCCAGTACGGTGTGCAACTCGAGAGCGCTGTGAGAGACAGATTGGCAGCCATCGACAAGTACGAAGAGGAAGAAGAGGAAGCACTCGAAAAGGTCACCGAGTTTTTCCAGAAGAAGTACTTCAAGAAGGATTCTCTGATAACGTTTCATTTCCCTGCAGCTTCTCGCACTGCTGAGGTAAGTATCAGATCGGGATACACATATATAACCCTTCTCAACGCTGAGGAAAGAAGAAGAAAGAGGCATCAAGCCGAAACTGATATGTTTGGGTTTTCCCTCTGCAGATATCCTTTGCGACGGAGGGAAAGGAGGAAGCGAAGGTGAAGGTGGAGAATCCAAACGTGGCTGAGATGATCCAGAAATGGTACTTGGGTGGGACTAGGTCGGTGTCTCCAACCACTGTGAAGAGCTTGGCTGACAACCTTGGGACGATGCTCGCTCAGTAGCTCTTTGGGTGACTAGTTTCTCGTATGGGCAAGAACAATAATCGTGAAATTTCGTACCAAGCGATGTACCGCGTGAGGTTTCATCCATGTTGCATGCGACATCTTGTTTCCCGTACCAAAAGGATGAACACTTTTAGCGGATATTTGTAGGGTTTGATTTGGATCACTTGTCTGAAATAAACTGCAGTAAGTATTAAAGTACGAAGAGTTTGTGTGCTAAAGAGATTAACATTATGTCTTCCGAAATGACAAATAGTTAGCATTGAGCTCTCAATGCAGTCTGGAGGAAACAGAGGGTCGCCATGGTCGGTCCCTTCACACTACCGCGACGCCATTGTCCCATCTCCGGCCTCCGCCCCACATTGGTCGAGCAGCGAGCGTCGGCAAGTCGGGCACGAAGGATGCAACGCAAGCCACGCGTCGATGCACTTGACGTGGAACCCGTGATGACACTTGGGCAGCACCCGGACCTTCTCCCCATCGCCGAACTCTCCGAGACATATCGGGCACTCCGTCGCCGTGACGCCGGCCCCCGGCCCGTACACCTTCGTCGGGATCTGGCGGAGTGCCTTCTTCTCGAGTCCGGTAGCCGCCGTCGCCTCGGGGATCTCGAGAGCAAGACGGGGGCGGGCGCACCGGATCGCGCACCGCAAGATGGAACCCAGCCCCAGCGCACATACCAGAGTACAAAGCAGTGCTGCTAGAACGACAGGCACGCTGGTAGTGAAATAAGCGTCGGCGGGGCCTCCAGCGTCCCCTGGCTTGGCTCCATCGGGCAAAAGTGGTGGTGTGTCGGGGACTGTGTCGAGGAGCCGGCGCATGGCTGGCATCCGCATCGGCGTATGGTCCGTTAGTGCAGTGATAGGGAGGAGCAAAGGACGATGCGAAGCATCTCTTCTTTCTTCTTCCCCCCTCTTTCTCGCGAAATACCTAAGAAGGTTGCTTCTTCCCTGACAGTAACAGAGCAGCCTGTTAGATCATATATAGGTCTAGGAAGCTTGGATTGAGGATTTGGTGAAGGAGGAGCAGGTGCAACAAAGCCTGCACGGACATGACCAGATATCGATGTTAGGCTTCCCGATGAAGCGATCATAGAAGCATATGACAAAGGAATTAGTTGAACATAAACAACATAGTTGAGGGGGTTGAGAAGTTGGTATAGGCATCACTGTCCCACCCAATCATATCTGACCAGAGCCGGGCGTCGATCGTCGCTGCATCAGAAGAGGAATCAATTGTTGGATAGCTTCGTGGTATGTATGTCTGATGAGGTTTCGGAGGAGCTTTGTTTCTGGTGTTCATATCAAATATCTACACCCACCTGATGGGATGATGCCATCTGTTGTGTGTCACAATGGGCAGTCCCTTTCCGAGACTGTATGATTGGATGATGGCTAGACTTTACAGCTGAGTGTCTTTTGATTTTTTTTTGTGTACACCATTTGCAAATATCTTCGTCGGATTGAGATTTTTTGAGGTGACGCTTGTCCCCTAGTGATCAAATAATGGATCATAGTCATCAAGATTATTATTATTATTATTATTGATTCGATATTACATAATTTTATTTGGATATATCGAATATCCTAATCAAATAGTAGATTTTATCTCTCAATTTTTGCTCTTGCATAAGTTCAATCCGCTTAATTCAATGTAAATGAAAATAACATTAAGATTATCGATAAATGGCTAACTTAATCAGAAGTCAACCATGACTACAATAAGATTTAAAATTATATAGATTTGAGCTGAACTAGTTTGACTAATATATATGAAATTATGTGTGAAAAATCTAAATGATGAATTTATGAACCAAACATAATATATTTTCACTATTATTTTTAATACTCAAATAAAATAAGATTATTTTTTAGTTATATTTTAATCTTCATTTCACTATTATTTATGAACCAAACATAATATATTTCACTATTATTTTTAATACTCAAATAAAATAAGATTATTTTAATATTCAAATAAATGATGAATATTCTATAGCGCATAATGCTGAAAGGTCGATTTGAATCATTTGAAGGTTAACGACCCTTATTCTGATGATATAAATCATGATCATTCATTCACCATCTCTCAATAACTTATGTTGACCAAAATCATGATTAATGATATAAGACATAATTATATATAATATCCATTCATATAAAGTTTTTTTTTGAGAACTAAGTCCCTCACCATCATCTCGGACCATGCTCTTGCTTGTTTTCTCTTCGCTTTCGTTCCTCGCTCGAGTAGTTCAAAAAGAAAACACAAATGACGATAGGATGATATGATAGAGATCAAGAGTAATTTCTTCTTTTATAAAATAAAAAATATTCTCATGAGAATAAATAAAAAATATTTTTAAAAATAAGAATAATTTTTTTTTAAAAAAAAATTATCATATATATATAATTTGGTGCTGAAAAAAAGAGCATGAAGATCCCAACAAAGCAAACCATCTGTGCCTAAAGCTCACAAAAGTCCATGTGGAATTCTGGACCAAAGAAAATAAAGGAGACAGATTACCAACACAAGGCAATATGCGGAAAAAAAAAAAGAAAAAAAAAAGGATCCTAAATATGAAAAAGTAGGAACATACTTATTATTACCGAGGGGGTTAGCCGAGTTTATCCCCCTCTCCCTGTCTCTCCTGACATCCACAGTTCGTGTGCTGCCGGAGATCTCTCTCCCTCCTCCCCAATTTTTGCTTCCTCGCCTTGTGTCCGAATTAAGGAAGAGGGAGAAGCATCATCAACGTCGGACGAAGCGGCAGCCGAATGCCGTCGAAATCCTTGATCCCTCCCCCGACGACTCCCAATCCCAACCTCCCCTGCCCCAACGCCCCCGTCGTGCCGCCGTCTATGTGCGGCGGCGGCGGCGACCTTGATCCCGCGCCGCATTTCGGAGGACCCCACCACCGGCGGGCCCACTCCGAGCTGGCCTTCCGGATCTCCGAGGACCTCCATCTGGGCCCCGCCTCCGAGGACGACGTCTTCCGGACTTACATGGACGTGGAGAAGATCGGATCGGGGATGGAGGACGGTGAAGCACCCGCTTCGGAAGCAGCCGAGCACTCGGGCCCTCGGGATCGGTCGGCGGTGGATTGTTTGTCGGGGAACGAGGGCAATGCCGCCGCCCGGCCGAAGCATCGGCACAGCAACTCGGTCGATGCGTCCAGCTCTAGAGGCGAGGGAGTGTTCGGGGACGTGATGGAGGCCAAGAAAGCCATGCCGCCCGAGAAGCTTGCGGAATTGGCGGTGATCGACCCAAAGAGGGCCAAGAGGTTTGCACATTTCACCAACATTTCAGTCTCATTAGGGTTCCGCCGATGCCTGAACTCTTCTTCTTGTTGGGTTCGTGACAGCATTGCTTGAATTGGGTTTCATTTTTCTCTTCGGAGAGGGTTGGCTGCTTCCCTATATTGCTTCTCGCATCCACTTGCTTTTGTGGACCGCATAACGGTTTTGTGATTGCCAGCGAGACAATCGACTAGAAATTGATCGAGTACAGCGAAGTAGTCCACGATTTAAGTTATCCTTGTGTTGTTTCCTTCCTCTTTCTCTTATTTTCGAGTAATCCTTTGATAGTTGTAAGTGCATCTCTTGCCCCATCAGGATGTTGCTTCATCTCTCTCAGATTCTATTTCTATAACTTCAATGTCTTGTCAATTTCCTGTTTCCATTGACTAGATCATCAAGCAAGATGAATTAAATGAAAATAAGCTAAAACTTGGCAAGTTGTCAAATTGAGAAATTTTATAATTCAGAGCTGCCTTATCTCGAAACATGAGAGCATAGCTAACAGTGATAGCTTTTATGTTGATGGTTTTATTCGAGAGGCTACCTCCAATCATGTCAAACATTTCCCTTAGTGAAACATGTTAGTCAATATAAACAAACATTATATGATGAGAAGCCATATCCTTAATTACAAAATATTTAAAATTTGGTTAAATTATGGACTCGAGATTGCCAATTAGGTACTAATTGTATCTTCTTGCCTCCACAATTCCACTTAGTTTCTTGTAGTCTCATTTTCTTCACGAAGTTATTTCTTGCGATGAGTGAAATGGACTCACAAATAAATTCATTTATTTGTGAATTTATTATCATATGTTTCTCCAAGCTTGTATGCTAGTATAAAAGCATATTTTGAGTTATTTGCCATGACTATATGCAGAATTCTAGCAAATCGTCAGTCTGCAGCTCGCTCGAAACAACGGAAAGCAAATTATATTGTAGAACTTGAGCGAAAAGTACAGACTCTTCAAACCGAAGCTACCACTCTTTCAGCACAGCTTACACTGTTCCAGGTTGTTATAATTTTTTTTTTTCACTTTCTTTTGTGATTTATTTCTTCTTGCTTGTTAAGGCAATTAGTATGTTAGTATGTTTAATGTGCTACATTACGGACTCACTACAGTCTTGTTGCTGATGCATCTGGGAGTGGCGGTTCATCCATCAAAACCATGAAGCAATTTGGTTCTAGTTGGACTAGATTTGTGAATTCCATCATGCTGGCCTGTTTTGATTTGTTCTTAAGTTGCAACCATTGTCAGCTTATGCGTAGGATTAGTCAAGTTTATGCTGCATCTCAGTTGATGATTTGGTTTTAGTCTCAGGTAATGGGTCTTTGTTTGAGTCAGATTATGGATAGATTTGTTTTACATATGTTGGCTCTGTATTTCTGATTATCCACAGATCACTGATTTTGTCTTACGAAAGAATCCAAATGAGAATGAAAAAACAACTGGATTTGATTAGTAAATGTCCACGTTTCTGGAGTTGGTTAGAGTCTGTTTATCTAAGAATTAGAAAGAGTCAACAAGTCGGAACTATTTGTGGCTAATGTTAGATCTTATGTCAAGTCCTAAAGAGAATTGTGTCTCATAAGGCAAATGGTACTGCTGGAATTACTTGAAGGAATCTATAGTTGGCTAGGGATCAAGTGTTTTATTTCCTTTTCTATCATCATTAGTTACTCTGACAGGGAAAGGAATAGTTAGTTTAATTATGGAAGTGAGGGACTAGCAGCTGTTGTAATAAGTTGTATATGGTATTATTAATCATATAAAATATATTCTAATGTCTGGTTGCATGCTCTTTTCTTAATTTGTATATGTTCTGCATTTAAAATAATCCATTTCTCCTCTATGCATGTCTTCTCTTCTGTCTACAATATGATATTATTTGTGTATCCTATGT